ATCAACCCTTTTCTCCTAATCATGCACTTCTGATCACTCTTCTTTAGAGTTAATAGTCTTTTGCCTCTTACATTATGTGAAGCTGAGCCTGTACTGGTAGGCTTGAGCTAGCCTACATGAAAGGATGTGTTTATCTACCTGACTTACCTTGTTATCTGAGCTAGAGCAACTAGACTGGTTTTCATCTCATCATAGACGTAGCCACAGAAGGATTTCCTGAGATATGGTGACTTACTAGGGCTTGGGTAACCGAGGACTGGGGTAGGTTTATTTGATAAATATAATTGAGGTTTGGAGGAAAAAAAAAGTTAAAAAGGCAACAAACTAACGAGTCTTGTGTAGAAGTTCTCCCTCTTGCTTCCAAAGTAATTAATAGAAGCTGCATTTACACTATCAAAATGCCACTATAAAAAGGTGAGTTTTTTTAATCAGCAGGTTTGTCAAAAATAGTGTGTCCACATACCACACAATCTACTCTGGGAATTTTCAGCACGTATTCCTGTGTCCTTTTTACTATGCAATATAGTGTGGAAGGGAAACAAGTATGTGTTGTAGAAAAGAGAATTTAAAAAGAAGTATATCCTTTATATCCTGTTTTCTACCTGGCTTCAGTATCAGCTGACTTGATGTAGATAAAGAATGTCAGAAGCACCAGAGATTTCAAAATTCAAAGCAACCAAGTGTATTTGCTGACAACAGACTTTTTTTTTTTTTAAAAAAAAAAAAAACAACCAAAACAAAAAAAACTCAACAACACCCTACCACCTGGATGCTGCTGAGTTCTCTTTCAACACAGGTAGGGCTGCTGCCTCACCTCAATTACCTTCTTCCTTATCTTTACTCCCACTCTTCCGAGTGGTAAAAGTCATGTATTTCTCAGCCAGGTGAAGCCTGAAGCCTGTGGAATTTATCCAGGTGGTAACATCTTATGCCAGTTGCCAGTTCAAAAGCAAACTTTATGTTCCCTTTTCCTTCAGTTCCCCGTCACACGTGGTGGTTCTCATATTTCCTTAGTGCTTGCTGCTATAGAAATAATTGGATATGTGCCAAACAGCATTTGCACTGTCACTTTGATATATTTTAGTAAAGGAGGCCAAACACAGTGAGGTGTGTCACAGCTGTTCGTAGTAATTAGGGCTGTACAAGTGTTAAATGCCACACTTACGAGATCTTTTTTAAGTGGTAAACCAGGATGTACTTACAGTTTCTGTGCTCCAGTTTTGCTTCCTTAGATGGGGTTGTGGTTGGTGTGCTGAGCTGGGTCTGTAGGGCAGTGAGGGCTGGAGGAAGGAGACTGGCGAGACCACGTTGCTCTGAAACTGGTCCTACCTGATGGTTTGGATTGTTCTTTCAACACAACTTTAAAAACTGGGCCGTGTTGGAGGAAATAATTTCAATCATGAAAATGGGCAGAGTCTATCCACCCATAGTCCCATGGTATTAGGCCTCTATCATGTGGTAATAAAAATGTTTTTAAGAACAGAGGTGCTGCAGTACAGTGTCACGGTGCAGGTGCAATTGGAACTAACCTTAGTCTTTTAACTGGCTGCCACAAGGACTTCTTGAGTAAGCCCTTCAGTAGATGAGCAGGGTGCTGACCCAGCCGTGCCAGAAGCAATAGTCAGCAAGTTCAAGGGGTATGTCTACAGAAGCAGCAGTCACACCCTTTTTTTTTTTTTTTTTTTTTGTGGTGTTGATCCATGCCCTGACACACATGTACGTCCTCATTCCGAACTTCCCCTGAGGATCCCTGAGAGCCTTGCCTTCTGCCATTCTCCCTTTGGGGCACAAAAGGCAACAGAGCTGAAAGTGCACAGTGAAACTTAAATGTCTAAGTCTAACCCTAGAGGTTTGGGGAAAGGGCTTTCCTTTACGGTTGTGTCACCTCTCCTCTGAGCTACAACAAAACAACCACCTGGGCCTTGCCCTGGGGATACTGCGATTAAAACCAAATATTCATCGTGGTGTCTCAAAGGCCCAGAGCACATAAAAGCTGTCCCCTGCTCTCTGCATCTTTGTGTTAGGCTAGAGACGGGTTAAGGTGTCTGTGCTTGACTTTACTGTCAGCAACCTTTCTCCACTGTGTCTGGATCCTTTATTTGAAGTTCTAAAGTAAAAATAAATGTCTTGTAATTTTCTCCACCAGTACAGCTGACCTCTCTAGTGACAGAGTAAAGCTTGGCTGGGCAGCAGATGCCTTCCAAGGACTTGATCAGAACTTGAGCTGTTTTTTCCTGGAAACAAGAACTTTCCCTTTCCCTCTCCTCAAACACCTCCAAATGTGCTTTCTCAGGAAACACAGGGTACTCTGGACCAAGTCAAAATCAGCCCTCTGTCACCCCACCAAAACAGAATGGTAATAAATACACTCTTCCCCCGTCGAGGAATGATCAAATACCAACTCTCTGTGATAGAAATTAGCTGAATTGTTTAATGTACCAAGTACTCGGGTACAACAATAGCTGTACAAGGAATCCTACAAAATAGAGTTTGTTTTTAAAATGCTGTATATGTAAGTAAGTCTGGGATTAAGTGCAAAGAAGGTAGTCGATGAAAAACTGGTTGTCTTCCATTCTTTATAAACATTGTCCTTTTCTACCATTGCCTCTTGCTTTTCTTTATCTTTTTTCCACCTTCTTGTTCCTCCTTCTCTACCCTTTCTTTTCTCAGTGTCTTTTTGTAAGGCACTGAAGGAAATTACGGTGGAAGCAGAGGCACTTTCCCAGAGAGCAGCCCAGTCTTGTCTGTAGTTTGGCTATCTCTGTGGTAGGCCTGTTCTTGCTGCTTCTGAGTCCCCTAGCTTTATCTCTCATGCCCAGGGCATCTCTCTGACTTCTCTTCCCGTCCTTTTTTTTCCCCTGACTCCATGTGCTTCCTAAGATGCCTTTCACCCAGAGCTGGAACTGAGCTGCCTGTACAAGACAGGTTCTGTTGCATCCCTTTTTAAATTTCACAGAGTAACTTGGTCAAACCTAGCAAGCCATCTGCTTTCATGTACTCAGGTGCTGTTCTGAAAGCTGCTGGCTATGGAGTAAATCAGGTGCCTTTCTCCCGCCTTGTCAAAGCCCATTTGCTGTCAAGCCTGGAAAAAGAGCCGCTTAGTTACTGGCACAGTGTGTGTATTTGTGTAACGCAGCTTCCCCAGGTAGATTACTGGATGGTGGCTTGCAGGAGCTGACAGGCAAGGGTTAGAAAACTTAAGAAGAAATCTGCTGGGGGGTAGCATGGAAAGAAATCCTTCTTTTTCCCTGTACAAACAGCATGGCAGAACTGCTTGGCTGCCAACTTGGAGACCATGGCTGTGCTCAAGTATGTCACTTAAAACCATGTCACCTGCCATGTAGCAGAGTCACGTTTGGCACTATGTTGTGGTTTTTTTTCTTCTGCAATAAACAGCAGTTTCCAGCTCGCTGGGAAGATGTGGTTTCATCCCAACCTGAACAGGAGTTATGTCCAGGCCTCCCTGCCCCATTGTGTACTGGCCTAGCTCCTGCAGGCAGAGCTCCTGTGGGATGTTCTCTGTATTGCTGCTCACCTTAACATCCAGAGCAGGATTTGCCACTTAAAATGCACCAATGTGGACGTTCAGCAAGGTATTAGTGCAGCAAGTGGCCAAGAAGGCCAACAGCATCCTGGCCTGTATCAGGAATGGTGTTGTCAGCAGGAGCTGAGATGATCGTTCCTCTGTACTCGACTTTGGTGAGGCCTCACCTCAAGTGCTGTGGCCGATTTTGGGCCCCTCACTACAAGAGGGACATTGAGGTGCTGGTGAGGATACAGAGGCAGGCTGCCGAGCTAGTAAAGGATTAGGAGCATGTGTCGTACAAGGAACAGCTGAGGGATCTGGGGCTGTTTAGCCTGGAGAAGAGGAGACTGAGGGGAGACCTCATCGCTCTCTACAACTACCTGAAGGGAGTTTGTAGAGAGGCAGAGGCTGGTCTGTTCTACCTATTGGTGAGTGATAGAACAAGGGGAAATGGCCTTAAGTTGTGCCAGGGAGCGTTCACGTTGGATATTAGGAAGAATTTCTTTACTGAGAGGGTTGTCAGCCATCGGAACAGGCTGCCCAGGGAGGTTGTTGTGTCGCCATCCCTGGAGGTGTTTAAGAGACGGGTGGATGTTGTGCTGAGGGACATGGTTTAGTGGTGTTGATAGGGCTGGGACAAAGGTTGGACTTGATGATCTTGAAGGTCTCTTCCAACTGAAACTCTTCTATGATTCTAAGTAGCTGTGGAGAAATATTCCTTTCCCCCTGCCTGATTTCACCTCCCTTTTACATTAGCCTGTACAAGTCTGAGAGCAGGGTCATGTTTATCTGAGACACCAGGTTCATCCAGTAATGCCACCCTATATTCCTTACTTCAGGGGGAAAGAAAAAACAAAAAAAGCTCTTTGCAATATTTCCACTTTAGTGATGCAAGACTCATTCTAAAAGATACAGCTCTGAATTAGAGCCTGCAGTGGTTCGCCAGGCTTTGTTCTTGGAAATAATTTATCTCCAGAGCACATCTGGTTGCGAGTCTTGATCTGTTCCCATCACAGCCAGGGCCTAGAAACCCTACAGCACCCTTGAGGCGTGGGTCACAGTGCTATAGGAAATGCCCCTGGAAAGTGTGGTCCACTGAACGCCAGAGCAGTGGTTTCTGGGGTAGAATAGGATTGTTCTTAACTCGCTGTAGCTGAAACTTGCCTCTATTTTGCCTGAAATCTGGTAGACTAAAGGGAGATGTCCTGCCAGCTTTCATGGTCTATACATACTTACATGAACAAAAATATGTCTTTAGCTTTTTCTCTGCCATTACTTTATCACTGATCCCAAGTCTGCATCCAAATTACTCTCGATCTGTTTTTCTAAGGATTTATAGATACCTTCTTGGTTTCCCCAGCACCTCTATTCATGGCATTACAACAAAGCAGTGTAATAGCAAATATAGCAGAAGAGTCTATGGGGCCTCTCTTGATCCTATTAACGTTGATTTCCTATAAAAGAGGTTCAACAAGAGAAAAAAAAACCTGCTTTGTAGCACCCTGGAAAACATGGAAGGTGTCTTCTTCTTTCCTTCCTTTTGACCCATCGCTGCCAAGCGGTGATTGATGCCCAGCGCCGATGTGTACGTGCAGTGCCCAGGGTCACTGGGGCAGCGGCATGGCCTGGACTCTGTTGTGTGACTGAGGTAACGCAGCGGTGTGTTTCCAAGCACAAGTGGTCTTTAACAGGCAGCCCGCACAGTTTTGGGTTTTGGTAATGAGACTGCACCTTACCCATGCAGGATTTAAGCAGCGCAGCTGACGTGGTCAGCTTCCCACTACAGAAAAAGATCTCATTGACATGGGTTTAAAACCCTTTCGAAAACTCACCACTGGCTCCTTTCATCTATTAAGTATATTTAGGGGAGAGCATGAAACAAAATAATGTTGACCAGAATATTCTTGTATGTCTGTGTAATCCAGTAAGAAAAGCCTGTAGGTGGAAGGTTTGTGGGTCTTTTTTTTTTTCTTCTATAGCAGACTTAAAATAAGATCTATCCTTCTTTATACAGACTGTTGGGAGAGAAATCTTGCTCCATTTGATAGACTTCCTGGTGACCAACTATAAACGCGACCCAGTTGTTACCCGGTTACTTAATAATACCCGGATTCATATCATGCCAACAATGAATCCTGATGGATTTGAAGCTACAAAAGTCCCTGATTGTTATTACACACGAGGAAGGTAAGGGTGGCTTTGGAAAGCGGGATTGGGGAAAGGAAATCGGTCAGGAGTACTAATCAGCGATAGCCAAGAGGCTGAATCATAGCTGGTGACGAGGATAACCCAGCATTAGGGCTAATTCTGGCTTGTGCTGAAGACCCACAGTTACGGCATAAGAGTTTTTGGAAGGCTGAGTAAGGCTGGTGTTTACATGTGGTGTGGCTAGAGAAAATCAGTCAGAATGGTGTGATGATCTAACCTTTTAGGCAGGAGACCCAGACTGCAAATAGAAGCACAACTACCTATTTAGACCTTTAGGGCGCTACAAAAAAAGGAGGAAATCTCCACCCACGGGGATCTGTCTTTTTCTAATTCACCTGTTGTTCTAATTCACCTGTGTGTAGGTGTGCGCGTGCTATAGGCATGTTAAATATTATTCACCTTTTCCACCTGAAATACAATAGAACTGGTTTATTGTGCCCTTTGAAAATTCCAGTGCTGCCAGAAGGCAAACTGAAGTCCATCTTCATGGAATCATAGAATGCATTGGGTTAGAAGGGACTTTTAAAGGTCAAATTAATGCTTGAGAAGATTTGCAGTGGTCATCCTGCCTGTTTCCTGAAGACACTAGCACACCACAGATCTGAAGTCCTGGGAGGCTGGCAGTGTGGAAAAACAGCGATGGGAGTGTCTTTTCTCTTTCTAAGGTACAACAAGAACGGAGAAGATCTGAACAGAAACTTCCCTGATGCCTTTGAAAGTACCAACGCTAGCATTCAGCCAGAGACTCAAGCAGTAATGAACTGGATAAAAAATGAAACATTTGTCCTTTCAGCAAACTTGCATGGGGGTGCCCTGGTTGCCAGTTACACCTTTGATAATGGTAACCCAGGTAAGCTGGTGACAAACTCTGTTCTGTACAGCTGGTGTGGTTTAGGAACATTAGCCATACCAAAGCAAAATTTGTAAGGATTTCTGCAAGTTTTTTTCCAGCTTTTGAGCTCGGATGACTTTGATAAACCTGATCAAAAATCGCTTCCTGGTACGGCTATTGGCGAGAGATCCTGCATGTAAGCCAGCACCGTGTGTTTTCCCAGCAGTGAGAGTTAGGTCACGGTTATCTTTATTCTGCAGTTACCGGCTCTTTGGAAGGCTATAGCAGGTCTCCAGATGACGATGTCTTTATTCATCTGGCAAAAACCTATTCTTTGAATCATGCCAGCATGTACAAAGGGACTGGGTGTGACAACAGACAAACCTTCCCAGAAGGCATTACCAACGGGTATTCTTGGTACCAGCTGGAAGGTAAGAATGGCAGTGATTTATTTATTTTTTTTTTTTCCCAGCTGCTTCAGCTGTGACATTCTCACTTTTTCCTGGCATCTTTGGTGAAGGGCTCTGATTTTGCCCAGAATGGAGGGCTGAAGAGGGCTGTAAGCGAACGCATTCACGTGGATTCTCTGAACAGGCCCTGGGTGTTTGCTGACTCTCCCAGTGAGCAATTGCACAAGTGAGCGAGGCAGTCTGTGCTGCCCGGCTGCTCCTGCACCCTTTCTTAAGGCCTGTGTAGCTGTGTAGGTTGCACGCGCTGGTGTGGCATTAAGGTCTTGTCCTTTCAGAAAGAAAACCAATCTTCTGTACATAGATAATCCTATTTTTGAAATATATGTTCTCATTACTGTCTACGTGTAGCCAAACAGAATATGGGTCCTGTGTACTGCAGCCCTGCGTGTCGTTTTCGTAGTCTGAACTCAAAGCCTTAAAAGGCTCTTAGGATGGCTTTGGCAGTGACAAATTCTATGCCAGCCTGTGACTTTATCTGCCCCTGTTTAGTTAGGAGTGCTTGAATGAATTGAAGTCCAAGACCCACTCTTCCTCAGCCATAGTAGTCATCATTCCCGAAATGCGGCTGTGCTTTAGGAAAAAACACTCTACAAGTTGGTTTTCCACAGGAGGCAGTCAGTACAAGTGTGCCATTGAGGAATAATTCATCTGATTTACTGTTCTTACAGGTGTGATGCAAGTGCCAACAGTTTAACTCTTCCGTCTGTCTTCTAGCTTGAACTTGGTGTTTCTTTGCAGCTGAACACTGTTTTATTTCACTTTTAAGGTGGAATGCAAGATTACAACTATATCTGGGGACAGTGCTTTGAAATTACCCTGGAGCTGTCATGCTGTAAATATCCTCCAGAAGACCAACTGGAAAAGTTCTGGAGAGACAACAAAGTTGCTCTGATCGAATATATCAAGCAAGTACACCTAGGTGGGTCTGGGAGTGGGGAAGGGAGCTAAGGGTGAGGCCAGGCTGGCGAGAGAGCACGAACTTCTTGGCAGCGTGAGTCAGTGTCGGAGCTCACAGGTGAGGAGCCCTGGCATGAACTCGGGAGCCATTGCTTCTGCGTAGCAAGCGCTGCGAGGCCAGGGGTGGGTAAGTGGAGGAGAGCTCACAGCCATGTCAGGGGCAATGGGCACTGCTACACCTGTGCCGCAAACGTGCTGGGGCAGGAGCAAGGCACAGGCCCCTTGGGTGGTGTTCCCAACCCCCCGCCCAGCAAATCCACTTTCCTGAGCAGCCTCACAGCAGTCATTTATTTCAAAAGTTTCTAAATGTAGGCGTGTACGTACGTACAATGTATCATACAAGGGTCTTTACTGCTTGGATGTTGTATTTTTATAAGGCTTTTCTGGGTGTGATCATGACTTCACAGTTGGAAGAGAGCCACTGCGTAGTGCAGCAGTGATATTTCACAGTGAGCTGAAGGTTTCACACAAATCTGTTGCTTATCTTGCTTTTTGTTGCCCAGGATGTCTGACTGCTGTTTTATCTTTCAAAGCAGCAGTGGCACTAAGCAAAGCAGTGCATGCAAATGTAGGCAAACTCCTTTGTGAGCAGACTTTGTTGCCACTCTGCCATTGGGAGATACTAGATAAGAGGCTGACCTATTTTAAGTTAAATAACAAGAAAAAAGAAAAAAAAAATCAAACCAGTATTGAAGATTGAAGCCCTTTGGCACAAGACACATACAGTAATTATATATAATGCTTTTAGCATGTGGTTTAGAAGCAGAGATTACATTGCTGCTTTCTAACTTAATGTGAAGGTAAACTATTAACAACAACAAAGGATTTTCGGTTTTAATTCCCTTCAGTAAGTGACTAGTGTTATTATTAGACGTGCTCAGAAGCAATGAAATAGCCTTTGAGCACATTCAGCAAGAAAAGAATCTGACTTTCTCCAAGAAGGAGGCTCACCACAGCCACAGGCCTATGATCTTCCTCTCCTCTCCTGTTTTCACAGGTGTCAAGGGTCAAGTTACTGATAAGAATGGGAATCCTATTCCAAATGCCATTGTGGAAGCCGAAGGAAGGCCTCATGTCTGCCCCTACAGAACAAATGAGCACGGAGAGTACTTTCTCCTCCTTTTGCCTGGGACGTACGTGATCAATGTAAGCGTGTGCCCTTACTAAATTATTGCCTCTAATTGCATTGAGTTCCCGAGCACAGTGAGACTGTGTCCTTACAGACCCATGAGCTGAACCTGCTCAAGTCATATACAGGAGCTATAAAGATTCTTAGCAGACTTAAACTGTTTAGTTTTTGCTAGACACCCAAAGCATAAACAAGCACATCAGACAACAGCTGTTTCACAGGTTAACTCAAATATTTCCACCCAAGTAAGAAAACTTTTGTGTTTGCTCCTAGGCCACTGTACCGGGATATAAATCGATGCTGAAGACAGTGGAAATACCCGACAACACTGGTAACTTCAGTGCTTTGAAACATGATTTCTTGTTCCCAGACGTCTCTATCCGATCAAGAGGTGTTTCGTGCCCCAAAATTCCACTCTACCAAGAGCTCCAACGGGCTTCGGCTGCAGTAAAACCAACTCTACACATCTTGGTTTTAATGATCGTTATGCTTGTCATTTTCAAATAACGTCAGGAATGGCGTGACATGGCAAGGTAGAAATCTTCCTGCACAAATGTGGCTTTTCAGACAAGGAATTGTATATGCAAAAGAATGTATGTTTTTATATAGCAAATTCTCAGATTTACATTTGTGTTTATTGTATTTTGTAAAATACTGGCCCGACAATCGAATGTTTTACTTGAATTATAATAGACCAGTATATTTTTCTACATAAGTCTTTTACTCTAAAGAAGTTCTGTACTCTGGAGATAACTGTAGGATTTCAATGCAGAAAGTACGAACCCAGTCTGAAGAATTTGCCTGAGTTCAAAAAAGGTCGAGGAATTGTGCTACGGATGTTTCATGGGAGCTCAGGTTCATCACTGAACCAGCAGTTAATGTGCCCCACACAGCTGTAACCAATTAGCTCAGTCCTAATTTCTCACAATAAAGCCACTGCTGTAAATGAGGAATTGCATTTTCATGTACGCTTTCTTACCTGGACAGATGACGCTGCTCAGGGCTGAAATAAGGTGAAGACCAGTAGCACAGAGACGGTGTGAGGCGAGAAGATGGCAACGAAGCGTAAGGATGTGCCGAAGGGCCATGTTGCTGGCAGCCGGCTGAGCATCTGTGCCACCGGGCAGAAACGAGTAACTCGGGTCTGAAAAAAGTGATCCCCTAAGATGGTTGTTGAAAACAATGTGGAAATGGGCATTGACAGCTTTATACTGTTGCTTTTATCTATTTTGTTTACTGAAGTGAGTATGGAACCAAAATTCAGGGGGTTGGTTTTTAAATTATTTTTTAAAATCTGAATAGTTGTAGCAATGGCTGTAGCGTGTGAAGTAGGTGTCACAGCCCCGTCGCTGCGCTGGTCGGACTGTGTCTGACCCCGAGTCAGGCTGGCAG